AGGGGCAGGGGCGGGGCTAGGGCGGGGCTCCTCCCGTCCTCTTTTTTGCTTGTTGAAATATGGTAACCCTACTTTTAGAGAGAGGTAAGGGATTGACTCTGTGTACTCAAACTTGCAGAGGACCAATAGGTTTGAGGTCTGTTATTTCTCATCTCCATATATTATTTATTTATTTAAAAACACTTTTGCTGTTGACCAGCATGGTATCTCTGAAGACACAAATCCACAGTTTGAGAACTGCAAAACTAAGCATCTCTGATGGTATCTTCTAGACTGAGCACTGAGTCCCATTGGGTAGATAGAAAGATTTAACCTAAATAATCTATACAGAAGCCCCTGGAACCCCATAAGATTGCATCCATGAACTATTGGAACTCATTTACAAAACTTTTCTGAAACTTTACATGAATATATTGTCTCATACTATATAATTAGAATTTATAATCCCTATTCCATGATGAAATATCTTTGAGCTATAATGTATCTTAATTAAAACTATCTTTAGATAGGTTTTTCCTCAAAAATCATTTTATCAAAAAAATCTGATTTTAAATAAAAAATCTTTTTTAAATCGTTGATTTTTATCCACCCTGGAACAAAATAAAATATTTTAAACTGGAACAAATGTTTTCCTGTAGCGAAAGACTCCAGCATTTTTTTAAAATACACGTTATCTTGTCATCTGATGCAACTCTAAATACTGGATTGACTCTCAGTTAAGGGCATGCTTGGGCCACCATGCTTTAGGAATTTGGAGTAAAGAGTATACCAGTGGCTCTACAGTCTGTGAGCTGCCAGTGGTCCAGGAAATGCTGGCTGGGAACATGGTGCTGGCTCTCCTCTTTGCTTCCAGCTGCTATAAATTGTATTAAAATAAACCAAAAACCCAATAAATACTTTCCCAGTATTACTTCTCCATTTAAACAATTGCTGTGATTGCTATGGGGATGGTGATTGATTGTACTGACCAACTCCGCTCCTGATGGCAATCATGAATGGAAGTGGAGGTGATCTAGAAAACAATCTTTCTGTTAAGATGTGGTCCACGGTATGAAAAAAGCGTAAGAACTTCTGCACTACAAGGCTATACGTGGTTACTTGTGCCCACTTGGCGAAATCTTCAGGAACAGCTCATGTTCCTGCCCAACTGTGATGGCAAGGTTAATGTCCTCTTGGGTTCCCTGTTGCTTTTCCACCTGACTTGTCTGTAATCCTCTGTCAATAATAAGTTGCAGTTCCTCATTATCTGCCATATTTTCAGTCTCCATCCCTCTTTCCAGCCATGTACTAGATGGATGTCCAGTTGTGTACCAAGAATCTGTCTGCATGAATACCAACTTAAACGAAGCGACATAATTAGTGCTTATGCAGGGCATTAATCATTCATGAATCACAGTTTTTCAGGGAAAGAGAAGTGGGAATCTTCTTAACCACACACAAGCCAAAACTTTTATAGTAGAAGTAGCACTTTGAGAAGGAATCTGTTGTTTCGTTCCACCAAATGACCTGTTATAAATTGTTTTGCAAGTGCAAGGTCTGCCTGGTGTGTAGTGTTAATTATTTAAAATAAGTACACATCGCTACATCATTTCACATTTAAAAATAAACATTCACCATAGCACATGCACTTCTGAGAACTAAAGTAAGAGCTAGTACAGTATTTCTCAAACTGGGGCCACCACTTGTATAGGGAAAGCCCCTGCGGGCCAGGCCGGTTTGTTTACCTGCCCCGTCCGCAGGTTCGGCCGATCGCGGCTCCCGCTGGCCACGGTTCGCTGCTCCAGGACAATGGGAGCTGCTGGAAGCGGCAGCCAGTATGTCCCTCGGCCCGTGCCGTTTCCAGCAGCCCCCATTGGCCTGGAGCAGCGAACCGCGGCCAGTGGGAGCCGCGATCGGCCGGACCTGCAGACAGAGCAGGTAAACAAACCGGTTGTTTCTGATATTCTTTTGCTAGCAGTTATGATAGTCTGTACTACAGAATTGGAACTGAATACCGCTCTTGATCACCAGTGTTTAAACTGTTGACACTTTTGCTGCTGTTGTTAATCTCACCAATATATAATAAAATAATTATAGTTAAGCTAGAATCTATATTTTGAAGCTCAAATATCAGCATTCGTCATAGCCCTGCATACAGAGTTTGGCCCTTAGAATTTGGTAGGGTATTCTCTGTAAGACTATAGGTGGTATTTCAAAATTCTTGAAGGGATTTGGATGCCCAGTTCCCATAGGAATTAGGACAGTTCCCATGTCCACATCCCTTAGACACTTTTGAAAATTGCAGCTTATGCAAATTTTATAAGATGTGTTTAGATTTGAGGCCTCAGCTACATCAGTCTCTCTTTTTAAATCTTCTTTTTTTTTTTTCTTGAGTAGCAGTTAACTCCAGTTAGAGGTGAATCTCGTCTGCTTTCCAACCCGAAAAAGTAAAGCTGACCTGGTACCAACCCCAAAGAAAGATTTAATTAAAATAAAATGCTTTGTTCAAAGAGTGCTCATGATAAAGAGCAGGAATCCAGATATAGTAAACTGACATTTTAATGCTTCTTTTCTTTTGCAGACCGCATCATCTGCTATTAAAGGAACTATTCAGCTGGGAATAGGATACACAGTAGGTAACCTCACCTCTAAGCCAGACAGAGATGTACTTATGCAAGACTTCTATGTAGTGGAAAGTGTATTTCTACCCAGGTAAAGACAATCCTATCTAATATAAGACTTTTCAAACCAAAAATTAACAGCATGCCTTCGTTTACTAGATGTGCTAACTATAAGGATTATTTTGAAAAGAGAATTATCCTGAAACAAATGGGATCATAGTAAGTTATTAATGTAAGAGAAGTTTAGTGGTTTTATGAGAGGATATTTTAATAATAATAATAAAAAAGAAATGAATATGAACTATTTCAACTGGAAGTTTGGCTTTCAAAATACTTTGAAAACTAATGTAGTAGACTAGACTCTACCTTTCTCCTGTGCCATAGCCACAACTGAAGCAAATCCTTGCACACAGTTAGGTCTGCCAACTGTCTCCAACATTCAGTTCATTCAGAAGCATCCATATTTCCAGATCCATAATTCCAAATATGGTGGTGTAAGGATGGTGGGAGGGATTACCATGTGCACACTGATTAGTGAAAACAGATGGTCCTGTGTTTCAGATATTAGACTGAAATTCAGGATCTGGGTTAAATTTCTGAGACTGCCACAGACTGCATGTGTGACCTTGGGCAAGTCACTTAATATCTTTGTGCCTCAACTCAACATGTATAAAATGAGCCTAATAATGCTTCTCTACCTTGTCAAGGTGTTGTGAGGACTAATATGTGAGGCAGTCAGGTCCTATGGTGATGGGGGCAACATAGGTAGAAAATTTCAACCAACATCTAACTCCATAACTGGTGCCAACGTTACGCATTTGTACACAGACTGGACACCATAGTTATTGTGCAGATAGCAGTTTCAGATATTGCTATAGCCCTATTTAAGGGATAATATTTGAAATAACATACTCCTGTTTATGTGGGAAATCCAGATCACAGCTGATACCAACAATAAAAAAACTTGTTACATAATGGCTTATATATTTTTCCAAACTGTCACATGTGACAGAAAGTATAAAGAACATATAGACCAAGATTTTCAAAAATAAGATTTCCTAAATCCACGTTTAGGTACCTGCCTGATTCTCAGAAATACTGAGTCCCCAACAGCTCCCACTGTAGTCACTGCGTGCTGCAGGTGCCAGGCATTTCAAGCCACCTACTTAAAGCTTGTCTACATGAACACTTAGCTTGCAGCAAGCTGGGTGTAAATCTACCCCACACTAACCTGCTGCACATTAAGTGTCCATGTGGATCCTGCTACCACCCACTAAAAGTTCCCTAGTGCAGTGCTTCACAAAGTCGGGCCGCCGCTTGTTCAGGGAAAGCCCCTGGCGGTCCGGGCTGGTTTGTTTACCTGCCGCGTCCGCAGGTACGGCCGATCGCGGCTCCCACTGGCCGCGGTTCGCCACTCCAGGCCAGTGGGGGCTGCAGGAAGCGGCATGGGCTGAGGGATGTACTGGCCGCCCTTCCCGCAGCCCCCATTGGCCTGGGACAGCAAACCGCAGCCAGTGGGAGCCGCGATCGGCCGAACCTGCGGACGCGGCAGGTAAACAAACAGGCCCGGACTGCCAGGAGCTTTCCCTGAACAAGTGGCGGCCCGACTTTGAGAAGCACTGCACCTAGTGCATTTTGATCTCCTGTTTCAAAGCAGGGTAGATTCAAGTGCATTAGGGCGCTTCTAGTGCATGGTAGCAGGGTCCATATGGACACTTAATGTGCAGCAGGCTAGTGTGGGGTAGATTTACTCCCCAGCTTGCTGCAAACTAAGTGTTTATGTAGACAAATCCCTAGTTGAGTATGTGTTGCAGTTTGCATGTGGGCTAAGATTTAATCTGAACATAAACCCATAAATCATCTCTAACATAAAATATAGTCCTCAGAAACATTAGAAATGACATCACTAAAACAATGTATGTATTTGTTAATAGGCAGTGTTTAATCTTGAGAAAAGATCATTGAGAGGGGACCTGATAAGTCTTCAAATATGTTAAGAGCTGTTATAAAGAAGATGGTGATCAATTGTTTTCCATGTCAGATGAGAGTAGGACAAGAAGTAATGGGCTTAATCTGCAGCAAGGGAGATCGTAATTAGGAAGTTTTTTCTAAAATCTAACCTAAAGGATAATTAAACTTTGGAATAATTTTCCAAGGGAGGTTGTGGAATCCCTATCATTGGAGATTTTTTTAAGAAGGTTAGACAAACACCTGTCAAGGATAGTTTAGGTTGACTTGGTCCTATCTCATCGTAGGGGGGCCAGACTTGATGATTACTTGAGGTCCTTTCCAACCCTACATTTCTATGGTTCTATGATAGCCATATTTTTTAAAAATTTGATCTGGTCTGATAATGTAAAGCCATTGTTTATGTGGAAGACGACGCGAGGCTAAGTTAATCTAAAGCATTTTCTTAAAGAAAATCTCAAACTTTGGAACATATTGCCTGGATAATATCCAGTCTTTACCCCACATGCTGTAGTTGTGCCAGTGGGAATTATTCATGTTCCATGCTCGTGGTTTGTGAGTGTCTATAATTGATGAGTTTTGTATATGCTTTTTCTGTGTGATATATTCTGGGGAAAATATGTAGATGCTAACCAAATAAATCCATTTAATACTTCACCAAGAATTTTTCAGATTACAAGAAGTAAATTACCGCTTCTATATTGTCATGTAACCAAACTCTTCACTGTTTCAAAAACCAAAATAATAGCCCTATTTGGATGAGGATGTTGCCATTACAAAGACTGTGCATGTACCCAATAGGAATCTGTATGGCTATCTGTAAAGACTTCAGAACCCAAGTTATTCTTTTAAATATCAAGTGAAACTTGATACTACTATACTATACTATACTAAACTTGAAAAACTACTATAAGCACTTGTTTTTGAATTAATAGCATAGAAGTGGAAGAATCCATTCCATTTCCTTTTTTTCCAGTTTGATTTGTTTAACATTTATAAAAAAAAAAATGTTGTGAAAGCCATAACAGGTTAGTTACCTGATATGAAAACACTCCTGCATACACACTTACAAATGCAATTTCCAAATGCCTGTGTGGTTCTTGTGTTAATGGTAGAGATAAGACCCATTTCTTCTGTTTTAAAAATGGAATGTGGGCATGAGGAGCAAATTGGCTTGCTTGTATTGACAGAGTTTGTGTTTTAACAGAGAAAAAAAAATTAGTAGCATCTTCTTGTCCAGTCATCCAAAGATAACACACAGAAAAATATCAATTAAAGGTATAGCCAGATGCAGCAAGTAATTTGACTTGCTGTCTGGTTTTACTAGTCAGTAAGCAAGAGAGAGTTGTATATAGTCAGTCTCCTTGACTGAAATAAAAGGATCTTTCTATAAAGGGTATTTATTGATGATGATCTTCCTCCATTAGATTCAGGAGTAGCAATCCATTTGTCTTTTAAGACCAACTGTTGAATCTACAATTTCTGTGCATTAGGTTTTATAAGGAGATGGAAAGTCTGTGTCTTGTTTCTTTGTAAACTGCATATTTATCTGCCTGTCTAAAATGATATTGAGTAGAAATAATAAGGTACTAGTTAGCAGGGCCAGTGCTTCCACTAGGCGACCCTAGGCGGTTGCCTAGGGCGGCAGGATTTGGGGGGGGGGCGGCATTTTGCTGCCCTCAGCGGGGGGGTCCTTCCGCTCTGGATCTTCGGCAGAAATTCGGTGGCGGGTCCTTCACTCACTCCAGGACCCACCGCTGAAGTGCCCCGAAGACGCAGAGCGGAAGGACCCCCGCCACCGAAGACCCCAGGCCCCCTGAATGCTCAGAGGAGAAGCGCTGCTGCCTAGGGCGGCAAAAACCCTGGTGCCGCTCCTGCTAGTTGGTATGAATTTCAAGAGGAGGACCCTTCATAGTAACGTAGGGAGCTCCACTGTTGGGTCCCATTTGAAAGTACAATGCAGATTATTCCTGAGTGTCACCAGCAGATTTAGTCAACTAGGATATAAAAGTAGTAGGAGTCTCTCTTTCTCAATGCAAAGGGAGGAGTGACTGAGACAAAGGAGGCAAAACCCTAGGAACAGCTAATCTAGCGAGAAGGCCTAGGCAAAGGTGAGTTTGATGATAATTTGAATTATTCCCTCTCTGTGATTAGGGCATCATTGGCAAATTTGAGCTATGTAAGGGGTGTATGTGATCATGAGGAGAAAATAGGCTTAACAAGCAAGCAGCTACATTTTGCACTAGCTTCAAGTTTCCAATGTAATTTAGCTGTAGCCCCATCCAGAATATTTAACTTCCATGTTGCTATATAATGTACGTGTCCACTTGCAGCAACACTTTGTTTTTACGGGCTGTCCTGATCATTTCATCTCCCCTTTGACTAGTCCCTTGTCTGCACCCAGTCCTGATGAGTGATACAGGGAATGAAGTGACTTATTTCATAGAGTTCCGTGCACTCCTGTCATAGTAGTGGGAGCATTGTTGCAGTGGTGGTGTTTTTAGCATATGCACAATGCGCCGGAGGTAGCACGTGACCAGGATTCATCACCAAATTTGGTCTGTTGGTTGGATCATTAGTTTCCCTGGCCCGGGCCGGGTACTGATGGGGAGTGCGACGCTGTAGATCCAGACTACTTGAAGTGCAATGAAACAACACTTCTTGCATTCCAGCAAGCAAAATCATATGACCCTTACAGTGCTGTATAAAAGAAAAACGGCGGAAAGATAGCCAACAATTGTTTTATGATTAAGCAATAACAGAAAAGAAATAACCTCTGTGTAGTTCTCCACCTCTCAAGTAAACTGCACCATCTGTATGATAGTTTAATAACCATAGCAAAACATAGTATTATTTCAGGATACTAACAATAAGAGCTTCATGTGGTAAAAACACCGAGAGAAAAGGAGGAAAATGGTTGGTTAGTTTAGAACTCCACATAATGGTCCAAATTCTGCTGGGTTATACTGCTGTAAAGCAGGAATAACTCCACTGATTTCAGTGCAGTTACTTAATATTTACATCGGTGTATCTAAGAGCAGAATTTGGCCCAATGCTTCGGTGTATTGCATGTTTGATTCAGTCAGTTTCAGTAAGTTACCGTGTCTTTGCACTGTGCCTTTA